CGTATGACATTGGTTATAGTGAGAAACGAGGTAAAGTTTAAGGATATAGGGGGCGTGCTTGTAAATTTCACCTGGAATATCATTGGGGCCGGGCGCTTTTCTGGGCTTAAGACGCCTAAGCGCCATATCAAGATCGTGCATGGTAAAAGGGGTATCAATTTCGGAAACAGGCGCAAAAGGCTGGTTAATTGGAACAGGAGGATCGACCTCCGAGTGATTGCTAGATAATCAGCGAAGGTTTTAGCTCGTTGTGAGGAAGAGACCAATTTCCCTTGCGGGTTATATAATCCTGTGGCTCTAGGTTTAAATTCGGAGCGAATCTGGCGAGCGTGATCCCATTGGTGTACCGAGCTTCCGTGAAAGTCGTTTACAAGGTGTTGCGCAATAAAGAGTTTCTTATCAGCTCGCGCTGATTTCTTAATAGATTTACGCGCCGCCTTCAAGGAAGCAACCTCTGTGTATGTGGTATTCTGAAATGTAGAGATAAGGCGAAGCGTTCTTTCGGAGATCCATGGCTTCTTTGCCGCTAATGGCAGTTCTGGTATCAGGCTTAAATTGTCCTTTATTTGAGAGTCATCCTGCGAAGCAGTGGGAAGGGAGGACCAGGCGGCTTCACTAAAGCCTATTTCTGGAGGGCACAATGAGGCGGAAGGGGTAGAGGAAAACCGGCCTGTGGTCCCAAAGGACTGAACTCCACGTTTGGCTAAGCGATCGGCCAGTTCGTTACCTGGAATACCTTCATGAGAAGGTACTTTGAGAAGCCGAACCCTATAAGTTATTCTAAGCGCGGTATAATATTGCTGTGCAAGTACCACCAACTGGTGGTGTGTTAAAAGTCGGGGTTCACTAAGCGTCCTAACCCAAAAGCACTGCGGCTCACTTTTCCTGTCACCGCACTGGTGTGTCTGGGTCCTTGAGCCTAAGGGCAACAAACAGGCTCAAGCTGTTTCTTTACATTTCAGCTGTGTGAAAACACTAGGTTCCTACTTGGCAGTAATGTTTAACACCCCGCCTTCGAAACTAGGGAATGACTTTCCTAAGTCAGAGCTCGTTTCGAAACTCTTTTCCCTGCTAAAACAAACTGCACACAAGTTCCTTTGTCATCCTTCGCAGACAGATGACTGTCCACTCGCGTTCCTCTCCAAGGTCGCTACTACTGTACAAGGTTCCTTTACAAGTCACAAAAGTAAGTGAGTTGTTCCTTGGATCGTCGTCCTTTAGCACGCAAAAAAACAACTAGGCTGCTACTGTGAAGGTCGGACGGATACACCATCCTGTTCCTTCTGCTACAGCTCTCAGCTGTCCTGAAAAAGGCTTTAGGCTCACAGGTCCATTGGCTTCAAGACCTTTGATCCTTTTCTCACTTCTGCTCTCCTGCTTCTTTTCACTTTACTGGAAGTTCGCGTCCTTGCTGCTGTCTGGTTCTTTATCCTTCTCTTGTTTTCCTGCTTCGATGTCGTAGTACTCGGGTGAGTGCTTGGCCATTTCTTCATCGTCATCGTCTTTGCTCTTCTTTCCTTTCTTTCCTTTTCCTTTTCCTTTGGAGTTGCGCCATTTCTGTTCTTGCATTATGCAAGTGTCCTTTCCCTTTGGGTCTCTTCCTTCTTGCTTGTTCCAACGGCGCGCTTCCAGATCGAAATAGTACCATTGATGGTTCACACTGTTCCACTTCCATTGGTGTTCGACTCCACCGTAAGAATAGACTGCGTAGTAGTTCTTGTCCTTTTCATCGCTGGGGTCTTTTCCTCTGACAAAGTCCTCTTGTTTTGTTGGTCCTATGTTGGTCTCCTCGGGGTCGTCTGTGCTGCTGCTGCTTGCTTCTTCCTTCTTTACTTCTTTGTCTTTGCTGTTGCTGCGACTTGCTTCTTCTTTCTTTCCTCCTTTTAGTTCGGCAAGCTGCCTCTCAAGCTCTTCAATCTTCTCCTTCTGCTTCTTCTTTGCTTCTTGCTCCTTTGCCTTCTTTTCTGCTTCCTCTGCTTCTGCTGCCTTCTTCTTCTCTTCCTCTTCTGCTTTCTTCTTCTTGTGTTCTGCCTCTACTGCTTCTGCTTCTCTCCTCTGTCTCTCCTTCTCTGCTGCCTCTGCTTCTGCTTTCTGCCTTTGCTTTTCTGCTGCTTCTGCCTCTGCTTTCTGCCTTTGCTTTTCTGCTGCTTCTGCCTCTGCTCTCTGTCTTTCCTTCTCTTCCTATTCTGCTTTCTTGGTAGCCTCTTCTGCTTCCTTCTCGATCCTTTCTCTTGCCTCTCTGACTCTTCTTTCCTTTTCTTCTCCATACGCCTTCTTCTCATCTCTTTCTTTCTTCTTCTGCTTTACTACCTCATCCATGTTTGCCCAATATTCTTTGTCCTCTTCGTCTCTTGGTTGAAAGGGCTGATGTGGTCGACTTCCTTTTCCTGCTTTCTCGTAGGCTTCCTTTCCTTTTCCTTTCTGGTGCTTGTACTTGAAGTCGTAGTTCCACCAAATCTTTTCTCCTGTTTCATGGCTTTGTCTCCAGATATGGCCTCCTTCGGTGTAGTACTTGAATTCCTGGCTCTTGTCCACAGGCGGCTTGAAATTCTTTTCCTGTTCCTTTCTCTTCGCTTCCTTCTGGGCAATGTTTGCCCTTGCCTTTGCCAAGAGTTTCTCCCTTTCCTCTTCGAACTCTTCTTGTGTCTGCTGGCTCTTTGGCTTTGCTTCTTCTTCTTCATCCTTCTGCTCCTCTGATCCTGTCGCTTCTGTTGTCTCTGGTTCCTCTGGCCATGCTTCTCCTGCTTCTTCCTCTGAAATCTCATATGACTGAGTGTAGTACTCGTTCTCATTCTCTTCCATTGCTTCCTTGGCTTCCTCTTCTTCTTGCTTCCTGTCGAAGTAGGCGCGGTCACTGTACTGGCTGATGTCCTCATCTTCTTCTATTCCTTTACACGTAGGTGACGTAGAAGTCCTTGGTCCTTGGTGGCCTTCCATTCTCAGTTCCCTTTCAAGAAAACGGTCGCGCTCCTCCATGAGCACTTCCTTTAGCCTTTCCTGCTCTTCAAAGTACTTCGCGTATTCTCCTCTTGCCTTGTCTTCCTCTTCGATGAACGCATCCCATCTTCCTTGAAGTTCCTTGAAGTTGGCCTGGAGGTCCCTAACTTCCTGGGTCAGTTCCTTTATCGCCAATGCTGTTAGCTGGCTTTGCTGAAGCACCGGTTCCTTCATTCCTGCTATATCTTGCTTGAGTTCCTTTATACTCTCTGTCTGCTTCGCCATGATCTCCTTGATCTCCTTCACGGACTGTGCCATCTCTCTTCCTTCTTCACTTTCCTTTCCACTTTCTTCTTCTTCTAGTCCTTCTGCGTTCCCTTCCGGGATATGGCTCTCACAAAGTTCCTGGACTAGGTGGCCTAATTCCTTGAAGTAGGAGAACATCTGCGGATGCACAAACTGTTCCTGAAAACATGCTTCACAGACTGTTCTTGTTCCTAATGCACATGCACTCGTCTCAGCACACATGCCGTCATGAAACATGACTGTTCCTTGACTTGACTGGACTGTTCCTGAACCTACTTCTGAAACCAACCCTTCTGAAAAATTCCTGAAATAGCTGAAAACAGTAAAGCTGCAAAAGCGAAGTTTCCTTTTGACTTAATCATCCTTACACTGGCTCTGGCTTGTTCCTGGCTTCGATGTTCCTGAAGTTCTTCTCTACCTACAGAGTCATTGTTCTCATCCTGAAATCCTAGCCAATGCAAAAGAAGCTTGATCCGTTTCGCGGATAAGGGCTTTGTTCCAATGTCAGCAGTATTCTCCTTGGTTCCCACAGGATGAACGCTCAGAGTTCCTTGCTTGTGAAGTTCCTGCAAGAAAAGCGTCCTGATCTGCAAATGCTTTACTCTTCCTACACCTTGTCTGGTAATGATTCCTCTGGCTGCTGAAGAATCCAGATACAAGTTCACCTTGCACTTCCTTCCTGTCAAGAACTCAACTGCTTCCTTCAACAAAATACTATCAGATGCTGCTGATGCTCCTGCATAGTACTCTGCTTCACCTGAACTCAGGGCTACACTCTTCTGACTCCTCGAAAATGTGTAGATTACCTGTCCATCAAGAAACACGGTTCCTGAAGATGTAGATTTCCTGGTAACTTTACTACCTGCCCAGTCGCTGTCACTGAAAACTTCCAACAAATGTTCCTGCTTCTCTGCGACTGTGCTGAAGTCGAATGAACCATTCCTGATGCTCTCGTGGAGGTTCGAAATACCCCTCGGCGTCTTCATGTACACAAGATGATATCCTTCTGTCCTAGACATGTACTG